AGATAGACAGACAGACAGACAGACAGACAGATAGATAGATAGATAGATAGATAGATAGACAGACAGACAGACAGTTAGATAGATAGATAGATAGATAGATAGATAGACAGACAGTTAGATAGATAGATAGATAGATAGATAGATATACGAGACGATAGACAGATGGATGTTGTCTCTCTGTTCAGTGTTCGGTCTGTGGCAGTAAATGTGAGTCACTGACACACTCAAGGGGGGAAACAGTTTCAGCTCTGAGCGGCAAAATGTGGATGAATGTTTTTTTTTTAGGTGAAAAGCATCACTGACAGCTGAGCTATAATACAGATGGATGAAACAATAAAAGCGCTTCAGGGAAAATCATTTCTATAAAGTGCTGACCTTCTTGGAGATGAGTTTCAGATTTACTGACTAAAAGTTCAGCACGCTCTAAAACGAAACTTCATGATACTACTGAATAATTGAGATGCAAGACAGATAACAAAACAGCCCAACAAACCAAAAACCAGACGATCATTTCAAGTTCAGTGCTCATCAGACTTCAAAATCTCAAATTGTTAATGTACAAGATGGAAAAAAAATAACCACAAAAAACAAAGACACAGATGTGCGCAAAACTTCCCAAACACCATGAAAATACAAAAACACCACATCCTGAAGTCTTGAAGTCCTAAAATTACAAAAATAACATCACCTCCCTCTCCCCGAATACAAAACAGGAATGAAACGATCCCACAGCCTTTGGTGGAACTGATCTGACATAGCTGTGCTGGCAGGCTGATCACAGCAGTGTGTGTGTGTGTGTGTTTGGATTCAGAAAATTTATGGATGCATGGAAGGATACCTTTGGTTTGGTTCTGGGCTTCAGCTGCTCCAGTTTCTTGGCCGCGGCCTCGATGGATGCAGCAGCACCCAGGAGCTCTGTCTCCGCTATCACCGTGGGGTCTTCTGGGTCCACCCACTCTGAACCTGAGAGGATGAGCAAACAAAGTCAACATGACCCTCATTTTCAAATCACTTACATTACTGATATATAATACATTCACATGGAAAGAGTAAACACATGGTATGACATGCAAAATAAACTTTAAGTAAAAGATGAAAGAAAAAAGCATGTGATGGGGATTCAAACCAATAACCTCCTGTATAGAGAAAATCACATTCCACCACAAGACTCTTACAAAAATGACCATGAGATCTTTCTATGTAGATGTTAATACTCTACAGAAACTGTACATATATTTTAAAGGAAATATACAAAAAAGTAAAAAACAAATCCCACACACTATCTATGAAAAAAATATCAAAATATTTATTGACTAAGTTTCGGTCACATGACCTTCATCAGGAATATTTTTATATTTTTTGCATAGATAGTGTGCGGGATTTGTTTTCTGCTTTTTAGTTTTTTGACCTGGTTGGTCTTTGCCTCCAACGCACCTATCTATTGCCGTCAGGTGTACGGAGTTTAATTGTTAAAGGAAATATACAAGAAAAAATAAAAAAAATGCAAGGTAGGAAAAAAAGCCACATTTGCCAAATACAAGTTCTCTTTTAAATTTATTGAATTTTACTAAGAAAAAACTATGGTTACCATGGGAAATTTTGGTAAGGGCAGCAGTTTGTATAATGTATGATAATGAACGGATGCCACAACCTATAATAACTATAACTTCAAGATAAACACTGTTCTTAGTTCGACTGGCAGGTTATTACAGTCACAATCATTCATTAATTGCTTAGATGAACATGCACATCTTTACGTTAATTGCCATTTATGAAGCAAATGTGCATTGCAATACATTCTCCTTTACCGATGTTCAAGAGGCTGTTTTGATCAAACAGCTTGTGAAAACAGATGGTGAGAATGTGTTTGAGGATTATGTTAAACCTGAGGGAATTCAATTCTATCCCTTCTTCTCTTTTCTCTCACATTATAACTCATTGTATGAGTGTGTGTGTCCATGCTGGTCACAGTTACTCAAGTCCGTCTGTATGTGTGTGGCCTGATATTGGAGAAAAACAACACTGTGTATCATACTCACCTCCATCTGTGGCAGAAAAGGAAAAAACAACAAAGTAGTGTTATAGAAAAGAGCAAGAGAGCACCATCAGCCCAATGGCTCTATTAAACCTGCACAAATTCAGCTCAATTGACCTGCGATTTTCCCCATTACCTCTCAAACTCATATACAGTACCATTACCAGGCCCGCAAGAGATCTGTGCTTGTGGAAAGCTCAGCAGAATATGAAAACTCATCACTGGCAAAATTAAATTAAATATGTTTGATTTTTTTCATTATAATTGGATTTTGAAAATTTGAATAAACATTAAAAAAAGGCAATATTGATTTTTTTTTTGATAATTATAGTGTAAATAAAATTATATTTAGATTAATAATTCATCCCAGTCAAAAAGTCCATCCGCTATTGCCCTCTCACATCAAAATCTATCAAGATATTTGTTTAGAACTGTTTTGGTCAGTTTTTACTTGCAAATGGTGTTTGATCTGTGCATATTTCTCTCCTGATTCAGACGAGAAGACTTTTTCCACAATATAAAGGATAGAGGACTCATATTTTGCTGGAAGCAAAAACATCTTGATGGATTTATTACAAACATGCAGCTTTTCGCTTCACAAGATGATTACTTGTGATGATTACTGTGATGTTTTAATCAGCTGTTTGGACTCTCATTCTGACGGCACCCATTCACTGCAGAGGATCCTCTGGTGAACAAGTTTCGTAATGTTACATTTCTCCAAATTTCTACATTTCTCCGAAAAAAACAAACAAAAAAACATCTACATCTTGGATGACCTGAGGTTGAGTAAATTTTCATTTTTGGGTGAGCTACCCCTTTATTATAAGTGTTTGCCTTTTTATTTAATAAATAATTGTAATCAAAAATTTTAAACCTTTTTTTCCCCCACACTAATTGTGTTGCTCCGTCAATATTCAATAAAGACTAATACTTTGGGACCAAAAAACCCAGAACTTTCCTTGCGTGTCCTTCAACCCCACTGTAGCATATCCATTTGTGTGTGCTCACCTTTCATGGCTTCAGCAGTCTGGATGAGCTCTGTGACTGAGCCCGCCACTTTCTTGGACAGCACGGCCAACTGCTGTTTCTGTTCGGCCGTGGGTTTCTGCAGGACCTGTGTGGCGTAAACACATGAGGTTAATCACAGAAACCCAAGCACAAACACATCCTGTAAAAGCTGTCGGCGCGCCCACTCACGAGCAGGACGTGTTCGAGCAAGTCGATGTATCCGGTGGTGCACTCGATGCCGTAGAGCAGAGCTTTATTCCTCACATCCTTGCCCACTTCTGGGTGGTACGCGGCTTGCTGCAAGACACAAACACAAATTTATGGTACGTGATGATTAGCTCCAGTTGGAATCTGCAGATTTTTAAGCTTTATAAGAATCTGTGGAATGAAGGAACTGCATTACATCATGACGACACTAGAGGGCGTAATTTAGGAGTCAAAAGTAGGTTAGTGCCAAATGACATTGAGAAATAGAGCAAACGGCATTCATTGCACATGGAGAGTGTATATAAACACATTTTGTTGGTATTCAAGTGTTTGTGGATTTCCACCTTACAGTTGGTCAGTATACGATGAGAATGTGCATATGTCTGTGTGATGGTGGATAAGCACCTTGCAGGTGGTCAGCATGTCGGAGATGGCTTTGCGGCTCAGGTTGGCAGTGGATATCACGTCCTCCTGCTGAGCAGAGTTGCCTGCTGCTACTGCTTTAGCCGTCGCAACGGTGATGCCCTTGGTCATGCGGATGAACTCTTCCGGGGTGGTAGATTTCTCCGGAACGTCCTTGGACTGGAAAACCTGGAAAGCAGATGATGCAACAGTCAGGGAAATTAAGAAATATTTTATACATAACAGAAATAACATCTACAGATCTTAAGTGAATCATATATTTTTAGAATCGGTCACATTACCAGGGACGATTTTCTGTGCACTAATACAGTAATGCCATCAGGATTTCCTAAAGTCCTGATGGGCATCTGATAACAGGAGCATTAAACCAAAAGATAAATCTCTTGCCTTCCTGTACCACTATCTCAATCTGTCACTCGGCCTGTGATAAGTGGAGTAGGGATGCCCATGGGAGAAGGAGAACGAGGAGCAGGTGGAGAACAGGCAAACGCACGCATGGTGTATTACTCTGTATTACCAGTTAATATCACAAATGGATGGGTTTTTACCTCTGTCTGGGCTAAAATTAATTAGGCAGGACCTAATTGTTACTAATTCACAGCCAGATTGTAATACAAGTTGATTGTATTAGCATCTTAATTAGGATCAAAATGAGCATGACATGTACTAACTATTCCCAAGTGCTTAAAAGAATAGAAGATGGTAATTTGACAAATGTCTCAGTGTTTTGTTTTGTCCATACAATGTTGTTTAGATCCCATTGACTTTCAAAATATCTTCTTTTGTGTTCCACAGAAGAAAGTCATACAGATTTGGAACAGAATGAGGGTGAGAACATAATGACTGTATGTTCCCTTTTGAAGAACTATTCTTTAAGTGTGGAAAGCACATTATCTCTTGGAATATTTCAATATTCACACAAAGAATGTTCCGTACAGTGAGTTCCTGTTTGATGCACTCAATAGTGGCTTCAAGAGCCCTCGTCCCGCGAGTGGCCTCATCTTCCACCGCTTTCACAGTTTTCAGCAAGGAGGTCACGTTCGTCACCATCACCTGTAAAACATAGGGAAGTCAAAGTCTCGGACTAGCTTGGAACTCTTTTTTCTGCTTTATGTATCACAGCTTAAGTGACCTCAACTAGAGAATGTCAACAGTTTTGTGGCCAGTTTTTCACCTGAGATACTGAAATAAGGTCAGATGCAATGCTATGACAAGAACAGCTGCATCGAACAGCTCAGTGAAATATCAGACAAGGTAAACCAGATTATGTTCTTTTTAAGGTAAAAAAATTCAAATCTAAATCATACATCAAAACATCAGAATATAGTCAGGTGATCAAACGGGACCTTTTAATGGACCACAGCTGAGGTCTGTAATGGATTATAAATCTTGCTTTAGGCAAGATTTTAAACACAAGTTTTAAACACAAAAGGAAAAAGGAGGAAACCTAAGAAAACAAAAGAGGGCCTAAGACAAAGCCCTGAGGGATGCCACCACTACTTTCAACACACACTGAAGAAACAAGCCTGAATGTCTGAAGCAAATGTCTGAAGCAAAATCCCAGAGGATCTGAAGTCACCATATGTTGGAGGAATGTAAAAATCTTTCCATCAAGGTCACAACTGCATAACACCTCATTATTTAAGTATGCTAAATAAAACATATCATGTTGCATGTATGTGGAAGTTAATCCCAGAGGTTTAACAGCACCAGGTGAATGATTAAGGGATTAGAACATGCTAGAAAATATGTGTGGTACACATCAATTTCTGTTTAAACAAGCCTGGAGATAGTTCTATTCACTTCACATGATAAAATGTGTGCACTGATCCACAGAATAACTGCAGAAGCGAGTGCAGTTTTAATTTTCTTTTAATTAGGTTTACAAAATTAATACGTATTGCCATGTAGCAAATCATACATGGCATTGGAGAGAAGACAGAAAAAGGAAGAGAGGAAGGGAAGGAAGCAGTCCTTATGCTGTATACACACACACAGCTTGGTTCTGTACCCTGCTGCGTGGCCATTGAGTCACTCACATACACACTATGATCACTGTAAGATAGGGTTTGATTTGTGGCCACACACCAAGATGACAGCGAGCGAAGACAGCACCCAGCCAAGAAAATAAGAGACAGTGCCAGCTGTTAGACAGGCATACACACATACACACACAGTGATAATCATCAGAATAAGATATGATCCTCACTAAGACACATAATGCCTTTCTTACAAACAGGAACTTACAGACACGCACACACACACAACATTCTTCAACCAAACATACCTTGGCGGCACTTTTCAGCTGATACATAGACGGATCATCTGCTGCCTTGCCCGCGGCACATTTAGTGGCACTAATCAGCTCAGCCAAAGCTTTAGCGACGTCTCTGACTGCATTTATCAGTACAACCTGAAAGAGATAGAGAAAAGACTTTATCACAACCACCTTTAGTCATGATATGCCACTGGCTTTATCCACTCCCATAAAGCATTGCACTTCTCCAGGGGTGCAGTTATTTATCGGAACCACATTTATAATACCATACAATACATTATGATTTATTAATCCTCAACTGGTAATTTAGATTTTGGGCAGAGATGTGTCATGATACATGCCACTGGCTGTTAGAGTGAGTCAGAGAGTGTCTGCACCCAAACGTCGAGATATTTGAGAGGAGAGCTAATGATATTCTCATTACACTCAGTCAGGGTGTGAAAAAGGATTAATATAGTCCAGGATAAAAATATAGGAGCAGACAGAATTAGAACACACTGGGCATTGGGTAATGTCTGAAATTTTGGTGTCGTGAAAATCCTATGACAGATTATAACAGCGAAACACGCACCTGTGTCTCAGGGTCCTCTGATCCCATGCTCGCAGCGCCCAGTTTGACCACGTCAGTGAGCTGTGTGATGGTCTTGGCAGAGGACTGGGCCGCCTGGGCTAGTTTGTCCTGGCTCGATGCAGCACCAGACACAAGCAGCTTGGTGTCCTCAACCAAAGCTTTAGCGGTTTTCAGTATGTTCTCTCTGAAGTGTGCAGAAACAAATACGCTTCAGATAACTCAATGAGACACCCAAGATTATGCCGACATTAATAAAACAAACCTTTGACATTTTATGTATGTGATGCTGAAACTGTTATGTTCTACTAGGTCTCACCTGTGGTCTGCGAAAGACTCTTCGTTCTCTGCGTTCAGTGTGCCGGCAGAGGCAAACATGATGGTCGTGTCCAGATCAGCAATGATGCCGGAGACAGAACTGGCTGCAGTTATGCAGGCCTGAGTTCCTTTATTACCAGCCTGCAGGGCTGATAACACCATGGACACCTGCAGGAGAGAGTGAATCACACTTAATTATAAACTCCATAGGCAGAGCTGGGACAGTTTTCCAAGCCTGTAGCACTTTTCTTGGGCATTAATAACAAAATGAACTTTTCATTTATTTTATTCAATGTATTAAATGTATTTACATTTAAATGTCAGATTTATTTGCACAAATAATAACAACAACAATAATATTTTTGTAAGGTTTTGATTGTTATATAATTTAAATAGTTCAATTAGAAATACATACATTACATACATTGCATAGTATTATAATTATAAATAAATAAATAGTTTTAAAAGGTTGTTTAATATAATTACATAATTTGAATAAATAGATTATAGAAATAGATAACAATATTAGTCCTGGGTCTTTTTGAAAACTTATTTACAATTACAATACAATACAAATATGTATTTCTTCTAGAGAGAGAAAGAGAGAGACAGAGATATAGAGAACGATTGAGTTGTCTTCACGAGTACATGAAAAGCCATAAGGAGGCTTCGAATGCATCATCCCTATTCATGTTTAATACAGAAATAACTGTAGGCAGAACTGAGGTTTGAACTGAACGGGGCCGGTGGGGGACGTGGACACATTTAACAGAGCTCATTTAAAGCAGCAAGGGGTCACAGCGCCACCACAGCGGGACAGACCGACTCCAGCTACTGAGATGTAATCAAAGACAATATGACACACTGACGAATGTCATCTACTGTATATAGTCTCAACCGGCGCTTCCGGCATTCATTCCAACAATAGTAGAAAAACAGCTGGAACACAAAGTGCAGTCACTGAAAATAAGCAGGCGACTCTCATTGTGCCTGTCTGAGTGTTTGCCAGGGCGTTGCTATGCAGTTTCTACAGCATTGCTGGTGGTTCTGTGGCTGTTGTTATATGGTTGATATGATGTAGCAAGTTTAGCTGGAAGAGTGCTTTTATATGATTGCTAGGGTGTTGTGGGTGGTTGCACAGGTGTTGCTATACTAAAGTATTGTTGCTATGTGGTTGCTAGGGTGTTGTGGGTAGCTGACAGGGTGTAGCTACATTATAGCTAGGGTGTTGTGGGTGGTTGCATAGGTTTATCTATGCTATTACTAAGGTGTTGTCAATAGGGTAATCAATAGGGTGTTGCTATGCTATTTTTAGGGTGTTTTTGGTGGTTGCCAGTGTCTTGTGGGTAGTTGACAATATGTTGCTATGTTATTGCTAGGGTGTTGTGGGTGGTAGCATGGGTGTTTCTATGCTATTACTAAGGTGTCGTCAGTAATCAACAGGGTGTGGCTATGCTATTTTTAGGGTGTTGTTGGTGTTTGCCAGTGTCTTGTGGGTAGTTGACAAGATGTTGCTATGTTATTGCTAGGGTGTTATGGGTGGTAGCATGGGTGTTTCTATGCTATCACTAAGGTGTCGTCAGTAATCAACAGGGTGTTGCTATGCTATTTTTTAGGGTGTTGGTGGTGGTTTCCAATGTGTTGCTAGGGTGTTGTGGGTAGTCGACAGGGCATTGCTATGTTATTGCTAGAGTGTTGTGGGTGGTAGCATTGGTGTTGCTATGCTATTACTAAGGCGTCGTCATTAATCAACAGGGTGTTGCTATGTTATTTTTTAGGGTGTTTTTGGTGGTTGCCAAAGTGGTGCTGGAGTGTCGTAGGTAGTTGAAAGGGTGTTGCTATGTTATTTCTAAGGTGTTGTGGGTGGTATCACCCCCTCTAATGTCCGTATGATATTCTGGTCTCAATATAAGTTTCAATATAATTTTCAACAATTTTTTGTTTACAATGTGAATATGAGCCTTAGCAAGTGCAGCACACCTCTAAATAAACCAGCAGTATTTTTAAAGTGTAGTCAGAAGAGGCTTTAAAAACAAAATTATTTTCTAATACCGTGATAAAAAGTTAATAGAAACAAAACAAAGTAACGCAGCAAACCACACAGAAGAAACGGCCTCCCACAATCCCGAGTGAGCCTACCTTCTCTGTGACAGCTCGGGCGTATTCGATCAGCTCTCTCTTGGTGAAACTGTCCGTCGGGCTCATCTGCAGGGCTCCGGCCTTCTGGACCAGATAGATGCAGCCGTGACCCAACTCCTGCACCCGAGTCTTGATCTGAGATCCCACCTAGAAACAGCCATGATATCAAGTCTAAGAAAGAGTTGGCATCCAAGTCAGCCTGAATCTGGGTCTAAATCTGAATGTATTCGTGCTCTGCGACTGCTCTAAAAGCCACTGCCTCCGTTCAACAAAGCTCTATCCAATAATTAAGAAGTGATTGTGACGGCCTTTGAGGGGGCCCGACAGCACTGTATGTTCGTTACCTGACACACAGATCCATGGGTGGGCGGCTCTTCATTATGAATATCACAACGGGCTTTTAAGGCTTGTGGGGGTGCACGGTTGCTATGGTAACGGCCGCTTATGTAAAAATGCTAGTGAATAGAGCTGGTGACTACCGTGTCCACGTGTTGCCTTCCTTTTTTTTTTTAAATGTGGAGAGAGCAAAGGTGTGAAATGTGTCGGCTGGTGTTCGCACCTTTGTTCACAGGCTTAACACCATGCAAAATGGAAGTATAAGGTTTGCTATACGACACTGACCAAGTTGCATGTGTTTGCACTAAATCACTAAATAAGAAGGTGTGGATGGGTTTATTTTTATTATATTTCATTGCTTATGATACACTATTGAGCATGAGATTTGAGAGTAAATGATGAAGTTTACAGTGAATAGCACTAATTTATCTATTTCTCACACAAATCTATCGAATGGCTTCAGAAGATTGGAATATATTGCACAAGTGCCAATAAGACGGGTTAAAGGTTTTTTATATTAACTTTCTGTTATAACAAAAGCATATAAACAATTTTTTTACTGTTTTGATCAAACAATTATTTTATTTCCTTCTAGTTTTTCTACACTTATTTTCCTATATATTATTAATAATACTAATACTAATAATAATTAGTGCTGTCAAATGATTAATCGCAATTAATCGCATCCAAAATAAAAGTTTGTTTACATAATATATGTGTGTACTGTGTATATTTATTATTTATAAATAAATACACATATACAGTGTATATTTTGAAAATATTTACATGTATTTACATGTATATTTGTATTCATATAAGTTATATTATATATAAATATATTTAATATATAAACATAACATATTTTTCTTAAATATATACATGTGTGTGCATTTATATATACATAAATATACACAATACACACACATATATTATGCAATCAAAAACTTTTATTTTGGATGCGATTAATCGTTTGACAGCACTAATAATAATGCTACCCTGCATCATATTAACTGAATGAAATCAAACATTTGTTTCTTAATAATTTCAAGGTGCTGATTCCAAAAATAGTGGCTGTTTTGCTCTAGTATGTCACAATTTTTCACAGAATATGATGCATTTTGTTGGTTTTCAACAACCACTTGTAAGGTGAAGAAGTCTTTTTTTATTTGAAGTCTTGTATTATCCCTTAATCACCAGAAAAACTGCCACAAAGACATGATTCATATCTTCCTCTGAGCCAGGTTACAAGTATTTTTTTAAATTCTCAGCCGATTTTCACATGTACAAATGATTCTGAAGTCATTATTTATGCTCATTTTATGCCCGATTTCTGCTTTTCCCCACTCCTTTGCAGATTGTCAGTTTGAATACTTCATTTTGTCATTAAAATGGAATTTTGGCATTTGACTGCTTTTTGATTTTGATAAGTGCATTAATTCTGATAAATGAAAAATCCTACATTCTTATTTTTTGAAAAAAAAAAAAAAAAAACCTATGTTAATGAAAGTTTTTACTGATATTTCTGAACTGGGTAATATAATGCCGTTTTTGCAAAATGCAGGGCTATGTAATAATAATATTGTGCACAAGTCATATAAACTAAATTTATGACATTTCAGGGTGTTTTTTTCCCCAAAAGTTCAATAGTTCATTGTTTCATTGTATGGTAAAGAGCATTCTGGACTTCCAAAGGCCTGTTTTTGTGTTTCACAGAAGAAAATTCAGTTTCAGTTTTAAGTGATCTGTTTCCTTGAAGTCTGGAGTTTATGTGAGGTTTAAGTCATCTGCACGTCCATTAGCGTGTCTGTAAATGTGCATTTCTCAGATGCACTTGCTGCAATGATCCTCACCTCCTCTGGCTCAGCAGTGGCAGCTGCCAGACGGCCTTGTTGTGCCAGCTGGCTGTAATCCACCATCACCTGAGACGCCAGTCCACCGAGCTCCTCTGGACATGTCACTGACTTCGTCATCTAGGGTCACATAACAGAAGCATAAGCTGTGATACAGTGACTAAAGATGTGAGAAGATGCTAAAGCATTTTGAGTGAGCGTCCTCACCATTTCCTGTGCAGTAATGGCGATGGCTTTTGAAAACTTCACCATGGTGGTCTGGTAATCCACAAAAGTGCCGTCAGGCTCCGGCGGTGTTCCTTCATCCATCTGTGAAGTAAAGAGACCCGAATAACAGTGATGTAATGCTGGATCCAGTCCTAATACAAATTACAGTTTTTGCTTGGTTCATGTGCACGACGCTGCGATCATTCCCGCAGAAAATGATCAGAGTGCAGATATTCAATTGGCTGCCATTGTCTTCCACCGTGAGTCATGACAGTATAATGAAAGATTGCGTGCATCCAGAGCTGATAAATGGAGATGTTGTGCCAATTCAGTCTAATAATGAGATACAGAGGCAGCTGTAGTATCTGTGACACATTAACATACGAGTGCCAGCTAGAGATGACTTTGATCAGAAAGCATTCTACAGCATTCTTCTTTTGCATTCTCCAAAAAAGAACAGATTTTAATACAAAGGGGAATTTAAATAAATTAATTTTATAATTGTTATGAATTATAAATGTATTATTAATTTGATTAGAATTAAAATTTTCTTTAAATGTACCTCATAAAAAAAATCTATAAAAATCTACCTCTGCTCTAAACTATAGGGAGCTCTTTTACATTAGGCCTACTATAAGGTTATAATTAACAACAGAGCCCAACCTTAAATTTAATTACTATTTATTTTTAATAATCAACACTTAAATTCAAAAAAATTGTGTGCAAACATGTAAATTGCACTCAATGCAGTTTTCAAATTAACTTCTAAATTATACAATTTCTATTTGTTGTTGAAATATAGCCTAATCATTTACACAGTGGCTGTCATAACTTGTTTCATAAAAGATTTATTTAAATATAGCCTACATAAAATAATTAAGACATAACTAACAGGTCAAGTAAAATATAATGTATACAGTATACAGAATATGTATGTATACAGTATAGTCTAATATTTCGCGAAATACTCTTCTCTAGACTTAATTTCTCTGGTGAACTGACGAGCTGTGGACACTGATGACTTGCCTGAGGTAAATGAAATGCTACGTTACATTTAGTTTACAAGCTGTTTTAATCGCATCCTTCCACGATATTTCCAACAAAAAAACATCGTCTTATATTCGGGTCAATATGGTAGTAATAAAGATGAAGGGATGATTGCGCTCACTCGCGCTGCTGTCAGAACTGAGGCGTTTATACAGCGATCTGTCACGCCACATCAAAGAGCACCAAAATGGCATTTAATGTCTGAATTTCCTTAAAAAATTTAATTATTTGTTTGGTACACATGCGTACCGAACTGAAAGACCCGTACCGAAAATTTTCAGTACGAATACGTGTACTGTTACACCCCTAATATATATATATATATATATATATATTCTTTTACTGTTTTGGTCAAACAGTTCTTTTATTATTAATATATACTTAATTATACAATTGTATAAACTCTTATTTTCATTATTCATATATATATATATATTTTTTTTTTTTAAGTATTTATTTTGAGATTATTAGTATTGCTCAATAACATTACTGCTTTCAAGATTAAAAAAATAATAGAAATATTATATATAAACGTTCATTAAACAGTTTAGTAGCCATTACAAAAACATATATCTTATAAATATATATTTACATATATCTGACTAAATAAGACCGTGAATGAGTTTATGTTTCTATATTTAAGTGGTTATGATATACAAATGCAGGTGAAATTTGAGAGTAAATAATAACTTCATTTTTTGTCTGTCACAAAAATATATAAATAAATAACAATCTATAATATATTATAATTTTCTGTATTGGTCAAACTGTTCTTTTTTTGTATTTTTTTGGTTCTTTGTACACTTATTTTTCATGTTAATAATAATAATAATAATTACAGAAATAATAATAATATTAATCATCATCATCATCATCATTTTATAGGAATTATTGGTATTGAAAAGCGACTAAAAATTGTAGTATTACAAAAAATGTTTAGGATTATGATTATTATTATTATGGACTTTTTGGTCATTTCCCCCTGATCTCCTGATATTAGCAACAGATATTAGACTGGGAAACACAGTCATCCACTAATTTTCAACATGGAGTCACTAACCCTTCCAATGGACTCAGCGATGGACTCCACCATGCCGCCCACCATCCCGCCCTCACTGGCCGCTTCGTTTAAGGTCACCATGATGTCATCAACTGCCTCCTTCATCAACTGGGCCGCTTCAGCTATGGCATCATGGGTGTGGGTTGCCTACAAGAACAAAAAAAATAGTGGCTGATGGGATAAAGATGGCCAACGTAGACCCATTAGCACCACTTCATCAACATAAACATAATAAAAGTCTGTTCTTTCTAACCAGAAGCTCTGGGAATGTGCCGTCAAATGCTACAGGTGGCAAACCTGCAGGTGGTTTCAGAACATGAAGCTTTTTTCATAAAAACACCCCATGTGTTGTTGTTATTTCCATGTGTCATACCTTAGGGTTTCCTCCAGCCTCTTTGGCAGCGTAGAGCATCTGTAGAGCAGATTCAAACAGCGTTTTGGTTTGATCCAGTATGTTCATCTGCTGCTGGTGGTCGGCATGTTTAGACGCCAGTCCCACCGACGCCACAATCACTGGCTCGAAGTAGCTCGCTAACTGAGTCACCTGGGGGGAAAAAAGAACACGTGTTAGGACTATCTGGCATGCAAACATACAGTTTCCTGTGTATATTTCAGGTAAGAGTGATATATAGAGTGAACTCATACAACTTTTTATTCGAATGACAAGCTGACAAACACTACAGACAAGAGGCATCAATCTTGCTGCAACAAACAAAGCCGGATTTAATTAAAACCGGTTTAGACACATTTTTTAAAGGTATTTTTAGACATGCTGTCATATGTTTATTCGAGTGGCACTGTGTGATTTGCACAAAAAAGACGTAATATATGAAAGTATGAAGAAGGACGAGGTTGTTGATCCAGGAACATTTCGTATTTGGCCAATCATGGATTTGCTGCAGAGGCAACATTATTTGCACTTCCACGTTTAAAGTGTCTCCGTTACCTTGTGTCCGAGCTGAGCCGCTTCCCCTCGCGCTGCAGTGGAGATGGGGTCAATGAGGTGGCCGATCTCCTGCACGGTGGACGTCAGCTGCTCCTGTAAAGCCTAATGGGAGCAGAGTCACATTAGCATTACCTCAAACGCTAATGCTAACATTCATAATAGCACAATAATATTAGCACGAAGGTTAAAGTGGGTATATAATATGAAAAATATCAATTTGCTCTTTTGAAATCAAAGTGTGACCTCTTTCTAAAGACCAAGTTTCAAAAAAATGATTCAACTATTAACGTTAACCTATGACTAGCCACATTTACATAGCAATGCCTGTTTTCCACAACTTGGTCCACTGGGATTTGAACAGTACATAGAGGTTAGCCAATCAAAATAGATCTTATTTACAGTATATATTCTTATAGGGGTAACATTTTAGTGTAGGAACCAATTCTCACTATTAACTAGTTGCTTATCAGCATGCATATTACTAGCATATTGGCTCTTTTTAGTAATACTTATGAAGTGCATATCGATGGCTTATTTTGCATGAGATATTTTAGATCCCTTAAACTTACCCCATACCTAAATTTGGCAACTACCTTACTAACTATTAATACACAGCAAATAGTTAGTTACTTGTTAGAATTGAACCTGAAACTAAAGTGTGACTTTAAAAGACACGGTATCAAATTCTTAAACTATTAAAGGTATAATAAACCTGCTTAATTCTGAGGGTGAAAATGGTCATAAAAACTATATTAAAATATATAGTTAAGATATTAAAAGGAAAAAGGAACAAAATTGCCCTCTTTAACAATATTAACATTAACTAACATTAACACCAGCAATGTTTTTTTAACAAACTAAAACACACAATTATTAATCCCCAAAAGGCATTTTGTTACAAATCATAAAAGGGCTGTTATTGTTAAATAAAACTAAAACTATTAAAAATGGTTTTTGTTTATTGAAATAAAGTTGGAAAAAAAATACAAATATTTGATGAAAAACTTCAACTTGAAAAAAATAAAAAATGTTTCTACGTTAAATTAAAAATGTTACAAAAACGAATGAAAACTGAAAGTTTTACATACGAAAAAAAATAATAAAAATGACAAAAGCACAAAATTACTAAAACGCAAACTAAAATGAAAATGAAAACTGACAATAAATAAAAATAAAGCTACTTCAAATTATTAATATTATATAAGTATATAAATAATTCTAAAATAACACTAAATCTCTGATATGGAGAACTGGGAGTGCCACTTAAAAATAAAATTAATCAAGTATTGATTTATTCATTAATTTAGAAAAGTAAAGAAATTACTTGGCAAACTGGCAAATAAATAGACTTAAAAAAAGTTTATTTAATGGTTTAAAAATGTATTTCAATGCAACAATAAAATAATATATGAATAACAAATTATTAAATGCAACATTTTATAGGTGTGTGTCTTAAAATCCAGTCGAAAGTTCATTAGATGCTCCCACATTTGAACTGTCCAATTTCTTTGAACAATATGGCTTTTTTTAAACGCATATAGAAAAGCAGTATATAGCATTTATAAAATGCTATTTAAATGAACTATTTATGAAATAAATAGATGTATGTCTATTTATTTGTTGAATTTGTAGTTTAAGCATTTTATGTACTTACATTTTAATTAGTACATAAATACATTTGATGATTAATTTCATTTGTAATCTTTTTTTAAGCAGCACTCCTAGTCCTCCATAGATTCATAACACGTGATGTCACAACACAAGCTGTTGTAGACCTAATAGAAAGTAACAGTGCACCAGAGCAACATTAAAGAAACGTAATGTTACTAAAGAGTGATGGCAGGTTTTGACACAGACAGGTGTTTTATTGGTTTACCTCCAGAGAGATGTCATCTCTGCGGGGCAGACTCTGACCCACGGCGGCGAGGGACACCTGCTCGATGTCCCTGATGCTCTTGTTGATGCTGTCGATGGACTGGTCACACTCCCGCTGCCCAGGGGCCTTGTCCCTGTCACATCAGAGGAGACGAGGTTGCTACAGGGTTGCCGTGGGGTGTTTTTCAGCTTAATTGAATTCGATTTTTCAACTCAATCCAGATATTGTACATTACAGTTTCATAAAACAGGA